AAGGGTCCAATAGTAGCTGGATTGTTAACTGGTTCCAATAAGAAGAAATAGGAAGACGATGAATATGTTAGTGATGAGCTGGACAACTCTGATCCAGATGATTCTGAAGATGATAATAGGACTAAGTTTGAGAAGTTTAGGAAAGACCAACTTAATAAGAATTTCAAGTTTAAGTGGGGTATGCAATTCAATCCTCTTAATGACTTTAGAGATGCAATTTGTGAGTGGTCAATTTTAAATGGTACGGAAATTACTTTTGTGAAAAATGAAAGTTACAGGGTAAGGGTAGAATGTAGGGCTAAATGTGGTTTTTTAATGTTATGCTCTAAAGTGGGCCATAACAACACTTGTTCCATTAGGACTATAAAAGACAACCACACATGTGCTAGGATTTTGAATAATAAATCTATAATTCAAGGTGGATGGCCAAGGAAGTTGTGAAGAAAATGCAAACATCTGAGACAGTTAGGATTTGTGATATTATTCAAGACATGAGACAAAATTACTCTGTGGGAATAACTGTGGCTAGGGATTTGAAGGAAAAGCTGATAGCAAAAAAGATAATTGAAGGAGATGTAGGCAAGCAATATGCAAACTTATGGAGATATGTTGTTGAGTTGAAAAGGGTAAATGCTAGGAATACTTTGAAGATCAACATTGACAGACCAATCCCATCAATTCAACCAAGGTTTGGATCTTTTTACTTTTATTTTGATGGATGTAGAAAAAGATTCATAAATGGATGCAGACCATTTGTTGGGGTTGATGGGTGCCATTTGAAGACCAACTATGGTGGTCAACTTTTAATAGTTATGGGTAGAGACCCCAATGACCAATATTTCTCATTGGCCTTTGGTGTTGTGGAAACTGAAACAAAAGATAGCGGGAGGTGGTTTCTAATGTTGTTAATGGAAGATGTTAGACAAGACAATAGATATATCTTTATTTCAGATCAGCAAAAGGTATGTCATTTTCAATTGTTAGTTGTTAGTTCATACTTCTCATTCTACTTGCATACTTCTCATTATCAAATATTAGTTGTTTTAAAAGTTGTGTCATTTTCATGATTGTTACAGGGTTTGGTAGTAGTATTTGAAGAAATGTTTGAAAGAATTGAGCATAGGCTGTGTCTAAGACATTTGTATAACGAACAGGAATTCATAGTTGACATTTCCAAAAGGTCTTGTACATGTAATTTCTAGGAGTTAGTTGGCATTCCTTGTAGACATGTTGTTGCAACTTTAGGTTTTAGGCAACAGAATCCAGAAATGTTTGTTGATGAATGTTACTATAGGGAAAACTATGCCCTTTGTTATGGTTTTGCTGTGAGTACCATTATTGGACAGGAAATATGACCTGAAGTTGAATGTGAAGAGCTTCTACCTCCTAGGTATAAAAAAGGTCTTGGCAGACCCAGAAAATTAATAATTAGGGAGTGTGGTGAGGAAGGTGCTAGAAGAAGATTGTCTGGTGTATCTGATAGGTGTATAAAGTGTGATAAGTTTGAACACAATGTTCAATCATGCAAGAGCAAGAAACAAGATCCAAATTCCTTGAAAAGAAATGTATTGTTATTTGTTTGTTCAATATTGTTTGTTCAGAATGTTATAGGTGTAAACAATGTTCTGATATTGTATGTCATTTGGATTATTGTAGAAAAAGGTCAAGTCTGATGTAGGTACAAGTGTAACCACTGAAGTGAATGCTAATCAACCAAACCAACCAACTGATGCAAATGAATATGATGGTTCTGCTCAACCCAACCAACTGAGGCAAGTCAACAAAACCAACCAACTGATGCATGTCAACATGATGTAGTCACACCAAATACAGGATTGTTTGGGGATGTTTCTGATGAGATGATGTCAACCTTACCTGACATCATCACAACAAATCTAACTAAGCAAACAACAACTGACATTAGCTCAACAAGTACCAAAAGGAAAGGCAAAGCTAAAGACAAACAAGAAGGCAAACCGATGAAAAAGAGGTCAAGTGAGAGAATTAAACAAAAATGGTTTCAAAAACTAATCATATGTCCTGCAGGTTCAAACCATAACAACCCAATGTATTTGTCAGAAGAAGAAAGAGGAATTCCAACACAAGAAGGCAATGGATCAACCAAATCTCAAAATGTAAAGAAGGTTACAAAGAAATCTCCAAATAAGAAATCAAAGAAGTAGTGCACACTATGTTATGACCTTTAGTCATCAATTATATCCTTGTGTAATGACTTATGTAGTTTTAATGTCCTTTTGTAATGACTGTAATGCACACTTTGTGTGCCATTTTCTAATGACTTATGCACACTTAGTGTGCCATTTTGTAATGATTGTAATGCACATTATTAGTGCCATTTTGTAATGACTAATTCACACTTTTGGTGCCATTTTGCAATCATCGTATGAACTAATCATTTCAATACCTTATATCACAATCATTAATTGACAAAAAAGTTAAACATTTCATTAACACAAAGCAATTTTACAAATGTGTTTGTAATCTTCAACATGATAAAAAATGCATTAGACTATATAACTTCCAAATACATCAAACTACATAAAATTAAAATAACATGAAAATTACATTAACTTGTACAACTTTGCAAAAATCAACCAAGATATCACAACTACCTTCTTCAAATTGAAATATTTCTTCTTCTGAATTTCAATCTTCATCTTGCTTTTTCCTAACTTCTTTAATGTGATTTCTAATTTCACATTTTCCATCTCACAGTTTTGGCAACTTACTTGAATATTAGAATTCTCTTTCATATAGTCTCCAATTTCATTATCCCACACAAACAGGTCACAGTTATTTCCATTTTACAAACAGAAACAACATTTACACAACTATGAACATCTTAAACATCATTTTTTGATTTTAAACAACATTTACAAAAACAAGATTCTTACCCATGTGTTGCGACATTCCATAATTTTCTATTACGGTTTTGAACAGTGTTGGAGACCCACGTCTTCATTGCACAATCGCATCCACACCGGGGTAAAGATAGAAATTCAACAGAAGGTGTGTTGTTGCTTCCAACCATATTATCTTATACGCAAAATCATACTAGGGAGAAGAAGAACGAATTCAAAAGAATGGAAGAAGAAGAACGAAAACGCGAAGTGCAGAACGAAGCTCTAGGGTGGAGAAGAATAACGAAGCAAATAAAGAAATGCGCACTCATCCAATCAACGTGGCATTAAATTGTTCGGTCAGCTTCGCCATCAGATGCCAACTATGAAGTCTCTCTTACACAGTCGGCAAAATAGTGACGCAAAAGTCTTCATGAATCTGAATTTGATAAGAGAAATAAAAAAAAAAAAAAAAAAAAAAAAAAAAAAAAAAAAACACTAAAACTAAAACTCGCTATAATGGCAAAGAGTAACATATATTTAATTCATAAATTTAATACTCTAATTAATTTTTTATTTTAATTCTCCTAATTTTCTCAACTGATCTTATATTTAAGGAGGTAGTGACTTTTTTTCTTTTTAATAGTTTAATAAGTACACTTTTATTCATTAAAACGATGAAGTTAAATGTTATGGATTTAAATTTACACTTTTATAATTGATTGTCCATGCACGGCCATGAATTGAGTTAACCGTGATATTTTCTTTTTTATTCAACAAATTAGACATACTATGAGTTGAATTATTAATAATCGATTATTGTTTTTTTCTAATATATTAGAATTCTCTTTTTCTTTTGATACAAGTAATGTTAGCTTAGCAACTCTCTTTCTCTTTTTTTTTTAAAGGATAAGGATCACAGTTCTCTTTCTCTTTTGATACAAGTAATATTAACAATTCTATTGTTATATAAAAGTAAATGACATATTCTATACAATTTGTGAGGAGTTTATTGAAATAATTTATTATAATTTTAACACTAACAATTTTTAAAATATTGATATTATGTAATTTTAGTTTGTATATTAATTTATTCTTTCAAAATTACGACATAGTCAAAAAAAGAAGACTGTGATTTAAAAATTATCATTCTGTTCGCACGTGGTTTTCGTGCGAACAACTTCTGTCCTCTTAATGTAGGTTTATTTGTGGGACCGATTAAATAAATACTAAAATAATTTGGTCAAGTCGATGCGATGTTGGTAGAATGATTTTTGTTTAAAATAAGTCGAAAACAAACTTGAAGAAAAAGTGTATACGAATTGATAAACAAGCCGGTACATAAGTAAAAAATAAGATATCTTAAAATTTGATAATGTAAATTGTTTTAGAAAGAAATATAGACGCTATTTTGTAACATTTTATTTATCGACACCTTTTCGTCAACTCTTCTCAGTCGAAATTTATCGGCCAACACATATTTGATTTATGCAAATTATACTATAATTCTTTGTTAAATTAGTTTTTTCTAAATATCTTATCATATGAAAAAATATGACTTGTATATATATTTTTTAAAATAGAAAACAAAGGGAAATATCATTATATAATATTTTTCCTGCAAAGAAGATCCTCCGAATCAGAACCCTTTTTACTAAACAACAAAACACGTGGGGTCCACTAAAAACCTTCCTTAAACTTTTCAATACAAAACCAACCAATCACCATTCGCCACTTTGCGAAACATTGTTCCTTCCCTAGCTTCAATGTAGGGTAATATTTCCTCTTTGTTATAGAATTACAATTAATACTTTTCTATAAAGAATCAGAATTTCACCAAAATTAAATAGTCATAAAACAATATTCTTTCGGTCTTTTTATAAAAGATATTGAGTAATAAATATTAAACTAAATTAATTAATTTTTTATTGACTTTGATTTTTTTTATACAACTTTTCGCACATTCTGATACAAAATTGACGTTAAAATCTGTTTGTCTGACGCCAACATCGTCAAAGGTTTTTTTTTTTATATAATACGAGACACCCACCACTCTCTCTTTCTCACTCTTTGATCTTGAAATTTTCTTTTCTTCTCTTTTTCTCTCCGTTTTCCTTCCACCCAAATTCCTCTCAAAACATGAAGTCTTCAAAGCTGAAAAAAACTCTTCTGGTTTATTTCACAGCGTGTTTATTAATCGCCATTGTTTCCGGCGCCGATCTAGCTTCCGATAGAGAAAGTCTGCTGACGCTGAGAAAAGCAGTTGGAGGACGAACCCGATCATGGAACGCGTCGGAGACGAACCCGTGTTTATGGTTTGGCGTTTCCTGCGCAAACGAGAGAGTCACGTCGTTGAGATTACCGGGGATGGCTCTCTCCGGTGAGCTTCCGGTTGGTTTAGGAAACCTCACTGAATTGCAGACGCTTTCTCTAAGGTTCAACTTGTTGACTGGATCAATTCCTTCGGATTTTTCAAAACTGGTTTCTCTCCGAAGCCTTTACCTTCAGAATAATTTTCTCTCCGGCGAGGTTCCTGAATTTGTGTTTGGGTTGCGGAATTTGATACGGTTGAGTTTAGCTTATAATAATTTCAGCGGTGAAATTTCTTCTGGTTTCAACAACCTCACTCGTTTGGATACACTGTCTTTGGAACAAAACCGGTTCACCGGTTCTGTCCCGGACCTTAATGTTCCTCCTTTGCATGTATTCAACGTGTCCTATAATAATTTAACCGGGCCGATTCCGTCGAGGTTTTCGCGTTTAGATATAAGCGCTTTTTCGGGAAATTCGCTTTGTGGGAATCCCCTTCAAGTACTTTGTCCAGGAAACAATGACAGCAACAGTAAAAATGGATTATCTGGTGGAGCTATTGCTGGTATTGTAATTGGTTGTGTTTTTGGTTTTTTGTTGATTCTGGTTCTTTTGGTGTTCTTGTGTAGAAAAAGAACAAAAAGTGATTCTGATAATGTAGCACATGCCAAGAGTGTTGATGTTGAAAATGGTGCTGGTGCTGGTGATGGTGGTGTGAGTAATTCAGGTTCGGGTTCTGCTTCGGTTTCAGCTTCGGGTGTATCATTACAAAAGAGTTTGGTGTTTGTTGGGAATGTGACTAGAAAGTTTAGTTTAGAAGATTTGTTAAGAGCTTCTGCTGAAGTTTTGGGAAAAGGGACATTTGGAACAGCTTATAAGGCAGCATTGGATATGGGAGTGACTGTGGCTGTGAAAAGGTTGAAGGATGTTACTGTAAGTGAAAGGGAATTCAAGGAGAAAATGGAGGAGGTAGGAAAATTGGTTCATGAGAAACTGGTCCCACTTAGGGGTTATTATTATAGTAGAGATGAAAAGCTTGTTGTGTATGATTACATGCCAATGGGAAGCTTATCTGCACTCTTACATGGTATGTGTTTGTCTTTTGCTTTTGATTTTTGTCATTTTGTGTTGGACATTGTTAGTGTTTTTGTGCTTGATGTGTTTTGTGATGCTAATATGCTACCTTCTCTTTTGTTTATTAGTATATAATGATTGTGACTGTTCTTCTGTCTAGTCCATGTTGGCTTTTTGGACAATCACTGCTTGTTTTTCTGTCCCTAGATGCTTTTGTAGACATATTAGGCCCCCCCCTGACCGTGTTACTCTGTTTGGATTCATAAGGCAGTGATTACGTTCAATGTATATGTCGGTGTTGTGTCCAGTGCCTGTCCATGTCTGTGTTTGTACTCCATAGAATAAGATGGATAGATATTCTGATTTTTGAGGCCTATGCATATTTGTTTGCATATGTTTTTGCATATGAGAGATGGAATGTTGCATCAAGAGTTTTAGATTTATGATAACTAAAGTATGAGAAATCTTAAGTTTATGTGCCTCTTAAGGCTTGGCAGATTCCAAAAATCTTATATTTATGTCAATGAACATTTCCATTTTGATTGTACTTATTGTTCCAACATTCAAAATTCTTATGAAGTAATGTTGACTGCACAAGACTCTAAGATTTTGAATTTGACTACAAACTTCAACTGATTTAGAAGAGGGGTGAGGCAAAAAAAATGGATCTTGAGTTGGATGCTAGACATTATTAGGCACATTTTTTTGACATTTGTTACTTACTTATACTTCTTGATATTTTCATGTTATAGCAAATAATGGAACTGGAAGGACTCCACTAAATTGGGAAACAAGGTCAACCATAGCCCTTGGTGCTGCACAAGGGATTGCATACCTACACTCACAAAGTCCAACATCTTCTCATGGAAACATCAAGTCATCAAACATCCTTCTCACCAAATCTTACGAGTCTCGTGTCTCAGACTTCGGCCTCGCGTATCTCGCTCTTCCAACCGCTACGCCCAACCGAGTTTCTGGTTACCGTGCACCAGAGGTCACCGATACCCGCAAAGTCTCCCAAAAAGCAGATGTCTACAGCTTCGGCATTATGCTTCTGGAGCTTCTCACAGGAAAAGCTCCTACTCATTCTACGCTGAACGATGAAGGAGTGGACCTACCGAGATGGGTCCAGTCGATCATTCAAGACGAATGGAACACTGATGTTTTCGACATGGAGCTTCTGAGATACCAGAATGTCGAGGACGAAATGGTGAAACTTTTGCAGCTTGCTCTTGAATGTACTGCTCAATATCCTGATAAGAGACCTTCCATGGATGTGGTTGTAAGGTTGATTGAGGAAATTTGTCAGCCTAGTATAGAGAAAGAGCAAGAAGAGATTATTGAGGATTCATGATTTGTTTAAAGATGGAGAGAATTGACTTTTCCTATGAGAATATAGAATTAAAGAGAAGAACCTCATGACTTCAATATTGGCCTGTTTTGGCATGATTATTTATATTGTTATTGTTTTATTGATTGCTACAATTACACATTCATGATACTGTGGGAAATGTGAATAATTTGTTTGGAGATTTTGTTGATCCTTCTATTTTTTAGGGGATCATTTTTAGTTTATTTATTTATAAAGGTTGAAACAAGGTTTTCTACTCTTCTCAAAGTCCAACATATCATTGTTTTTAGTGTATGTTTATATTATCTTTCAATCCCATTTGCTTGTAAATTGAGTTTTGTGCATCATGTCTAGCACAATCATATGGGTTAATAATTTAATCATGATTTTAATTATCAAAAAAGATTGTACTAGTTTACATCATATATAATGTTCACTAGACATATAAAAAAAATTTAGTATAACATATACTTTATAATTGAAACATATTTAGTCTAATTTGTAGAATTTTTCAAGAAAAATAAGTGAGATGTCGTGAGTTCGAATTCACTCCTACAGTCAAATGTTCATGCACAATTAGCTATCAATTGAGTTAGTTTAATACAAGATAATTGAAACACATTTATAATTTTTTTTACCTAAATAACTCTCTTTTTCAAATTTATTTTTAAAATAATCTAGGTTTCAAAAAAAATCTTAATCTACTACCCCACTTTCAAGTAGAAAAATTTGGAACGAAGTGGTGTTCTTAGTTTAATTGACGATAATTCTTAATTTTTTAATGGTGGCATCAATTAGATTGACGGTTGTATATGGTGTTATCAATCCAATTGCGTAAGTGTACAATTTATAAAATGCGGCGCAAATTCATCTGACACCAGTGTATATTGTGAATGTTTTTAGTATAAATAGAGGTGTCTCCTACCATTTACATCACTTCACATCTCATTTCAAATTCTTCTTTTATTTTCTTCACTAACTCTATCATGATTGTTAAAAAATATGGGCATGTATGTTATTCGGCAACGAAACCTCCTCTGAAAATATTTTTTGGAACATCCAAAGTTTCGAGCATTTTGAAAGGAGTTTGAAAAGTTGTTTAGATAGAGATTAATGATGGGGAAAGGATTAGAAGTATCGAGAGACTTATTTTATACATCTTAATCGGAGATGATAATAATGTTATGCAGCGTATGTGGGCGCAAGTTAAAGATGACAATGATGTCAGGGATACGATGTCTGCAGCATATGACATTGTTTTTATTGTTGTAACTTTTTAGACATGTTAGTGGTGTTAAGTTTTATGCGTATTTATGTTGGTATGCTATGTTGTGTGTTGTTTGTGTGCGAAAACTATTTATTTCAAGGGTGTTTATGAGTATTTATGTTATTTTTGTTGTAACCAATATATATATATATATATATATATATATATATATATATATATATATATATATATATATATATATATATATATATATATATATATATATCCACACACGCACACCACCGGGAAGCTATTGTTGTACACTGAAAAATATTTATAACTTTGTAAACATCGAATAAATGCTTGGAAGCATCTTGGCAAGCATATGAACATGCCGCAACATGGGAGCAAGGCATACGAGAGACTTGAAACTTGTCTCAATCGCACCAACCTTTATTCAATTGGTCTCGATAGTCTCTATTCGGCCTTTCCTCGTTGTGGTCCTATGTTTCCTTTACATTAAAAGTGTGTCTATGACGGTCAAAGATTGTAAATACATATGTGCTAGCATTGAGAGTTTCCTCCTTCATCATTTTCATGCAACTTTCACGCAACTTTCACTGAATAATTGCCCCGATCATAATACTGAACTCTATTTTTTGTCTTTGATTGCGAAAAGTGATCCAAACCTAAAATAGGCTGCTCTCACCAATGCGGTTATTGGTAGATTTCTAATGTCCTTGAAGATGTTGTTCATGAATTCAACAAGGTTTGTTGTCATGTGGCCTCATCAACGTCCTTCTTCAAATTCCCTTATCCACTTCTCCGGTGGAATGTTATCACCCACCTTAATCCATCTGCATTTGGCAATCTAATTTCCTCGCGGTAGTGTCGGAACGATGGTTGAGTTAAAGCAAATCCTACATTCACAACTTTTTTTCCGAATGTTCTTGTCTTTGTTTTCTCGCATGAAATTTTGTGTAATATGTCTAATGTAGTAGACGTGGCTAGAAGGAGAATGTCGTCCATTCTCAGGATTATTGTACGCACTCTCAATAGATGTATGTTTGTCAGAAATTAAACAGAGGTTGGGTTGTGGAGAAACGTGTGCTCTAAGATTCTTGAGAAAGAAACTCCAATCGCCAAAAGTCTCGTCTTCAACCAGAGTGAAGGCGGCTGAAAAGATGTTAATGTTGTCGTCTTATGCCACTGTCAAAAGTAAGTTAATAACATTATTTTCATTTACTTAATTTACCGATTATTATCTCTAAATAATTTATTTTAACTTTTTTTATTTAGATGGTCGGCCTGTGATATAACTTACAACAGATGTCATAGACCCTGTATCATTTAATATCACAATCTCTTAGATCACCTTACACCAGAAGACGTATTACCACTAAATGAATCGAGTTTTTTTAATATTACATATTCTATAATTTAGTCTATTTTTCATCTACAGTTTATTTGGCGTCCATATCTAAACTTGGAACATCAACATGAAGTCAGAGAAGAAGATGCAGTCTTTTGACTGCATACACATTGATCATCAAGTTCACCACTATGGAGATGCACCATAGTGGTCGTGTGAAACTACAATTCGGAATGCTTCAAAACATCTCAGATCCCCTGGCATGCCTCAGAAAATGGAACCAATAAAAAATTAATGAACAATGGAACTTTGACAATTGAAAGGACTTCACTAAATCTGAGTGTTGTAAATGGAAGCATCGTCATGACCATGTCTTACGTGACGTTGTGATGCTAACCCAATCTAAACCAACTAATAATCATAAAGCATGGTATAGATCGGTTGTAAGTGGGGTTGTCTCCCAAGATAGGTGCCTATACGATCCACAACAAATCACCTTACACACAAGAAGTTTCAACGTCTAACCCCCCCCCCCCCCCCCCCACACACACACACACACACAACAAATTATCATACCTGTTACTCACAACCCCCAACCAAACAAAATTATCGATCTACAAACCCACAACGAAAACACGCCAAATGTAACACCCCACTTCCCAAAATCATCTAAATTAATAAACATTATAAATAAACAAAATCAGAGTTCCAATTCTCCCAAGTGGGATATCACATAAAAACAACGTTTCCTTATAAAAAGGTTTTTCTCCAAATACAGCGGAATGTTAAATAATAAAATTCAATAAAAGTTTGATACGTTCACAGGGAAATAAAATATAAGTTCAACATAAAACAAATAAAAACGCCCAAGTCCCGTGCTACATATCAGAGCATCCTAGACTCGACAATCACACCAATATCCAAGCTAGCTAAGCACCTGGATTATCTGTACTTCCGAAGAAGCACAGACCACAACAACAACAAAGGGGTGAGAAATCATGATCAAAAATATAATGGTAATGTAATACATGTAAATAAGGTAGTACAACACACCGACACACCAAGATTCACCCCTAACAACACCATATGACGAACCTACTGTTCAAATTACAATATAACATATTATAATGCAAAATGCAACTCAACACCATGCATGCGGTACCGACTCGTTGGTTCATTCAATCGAACCTGGATAGATCACTTACGCTCCTCCTGAGACATGATCTATCCCCCACCATTCTCCACAAAGGAGTACGGATGAATCACTTACGCTCCTCCTGAGACATGATTCATCCCACCAAAACACCATGATATGCACACACCAATGCATAACTAATATATTTAGGCACTCAACGTGCACACGATCCTCCTGATCATATCATCATACATCAATGCATATATGTACAGATATAACATACACCAACACCATATAAATCAACCAGATAGTAAACAAGTTCATACTTTAACACCAAGATATAAACATATCCCACCACTCGGGGGTACACGATCCTACTGATCACTACATACATATACCTCAACTAATTGTCCACCGACAATATCAAGGGAAACACGTACTATCACCAGTACGCAAGTTAAATCCCACACTCATCATTTTCACACTGCAACAAGGCTAAAAAGGATCACACGAGACCAACGCTCGAATCCAAAGCATCACAAAAATTCATTTGGTTCTGCTACGTTCGCTGGCATTCGCCAGGCGAACCTGCTGGAGAAGCCCTCATTTCACTATCGTGCACTCGCCAGGCGAACCTTCATTCTCCAGGCGAACCTTCGCTGGCCACACTTGCCAGACGAAGTTCTTACCCTTTAGGTCTGGGACTTAACTCTGAATTATTCGCTGCCACTCGCCTCAGCTCGCCAGGCGAACACTCGCCTCCACTCGCCAGGCGAAGCTTCGCCAACACTCGCCAGGTAAAGCCCAGCGAATGCTGCGATTTCACCAATTTCTCACAGTTCTGCAGAGTGCTTTCTAAGCCAAATGGGTTAAACTTCCTACTTCCAATTCACCTCTTAACATCAGTACTAACAACATAGATATCATAACTTATCGGTTTCTAGACTACATTCCCAATTCAACTCTTAGGCATTCTATCGATATCCCAAAAGGTCACACAGAATTTTCCCTAAAACCCGTAAACCCAACCTACCCGCCAAATTAACCAAAAACCATAATTCATCAACAATCAACATCCAATTATCAGCAATAGTCAACAATCACAACATATCAATATGTAATATCATATATCGATCAATCTCTTACGGGGTTAAGGACTCCCCACTACCCTATACATGTATAAACCATTCCCAATCAGGTTTCTCCCCCTTTACCTTGTTAATCGGTTGATCGATGAAAGAACCCTCCAAGGTTTGGCCAATTCTGATTTTCCCCCGTTCCTTCGTTCT